GGAGATTTCTCATTTTATTTCAGTTTCTTTCAGTGATAAGAGCGTAAAATATTTTATACTTTGATGGGAATAGTATGTACTTCCTGTTGAATGTTGTAGAAAATTATTACCAGGCAACATTTCATACCGACCTTCATTATTACTACTTTGCAATCTTGTCTGAACAATATGCATCATTTTACTTGCTTATGTATCTTTCTTCGCTTTCTTTACCCCTAGCATTATACTGACATTCATTTTTGTAGAATTAACTTGCTGTACAAATGAAACGCCAATCGGTGATCTTACGAGTAGCTGAATGGATTGCACGTTAAATTTTCATTAATTCAAGTGAAACGGAATTTTTAACTTGCCTGAAATATCATAGGATTATTTTAATATAACCAACTCACAAGAAAAACGGCTTGTTTGTGTTGAATATGAAAAGAAGGAGGGTAAGGAAAGACTTGATTCGGTGTGGTAGGAGTTACATGAAATTACCTAGCATATTTTTTGGACGCCTTAAGATCCTATTGATTTCGGGATTCTGCATCGAGATTTGGTAAGGTGTGGTCTATCCTCCGTCCTCTCTTTCATTCTATTATTCAGATTTCTGTTTCACAAGAATTGAAGATATTGATGGAGGCGGGGCAACGATGTAAAGGTACATTTGGACCTGAAATTGGGTATGAAATGCAATACTGTCAGGATGTCATATGATTTTAGCATTTCGGTAGTCTATGTTGTTTAGTAATTGTGACTGTTTTGATTTTATCTAGATTTGATATTTGAGCAGTGTGATGGTGTTGGGGTGTGCTGTGCCTATTCAGTTTATGAAGGCGGGGAGGTACTGGAATAGGAGAATATCTTTCTGTAAATTGCAAAGGTGATCAATGCGAAATAGATCTCTCGAGGAGGCTGACACTGACAAGCCGTCCTAGAAACGAGGCTTTTTGTGAGAGCCTCAAATAATCAATTCCTCTCTGTTTGCTCGGGAAGGAGGAGACTACAACTGATATATACATATGCATAGAGATATATTGCATTTATACACATGTGTGTTTATGTGTCTGAAGCCTATGCTCAGGCCTATAGGTTGTTTGCTTGTTAAATAAACCAGCCACATTCGCCTATAATATGTTTTCCCTTTCTTGCATGTCTTATTGATCTATTTCTAAAAACGTTGAGTATGTAGCAGACGTGAAACGATCGGATTTGAAGGCGTGCTGAAGCTTTTGGTGTGTCCCAACTTACTACTGATCCTGTTTTTTCTTCACAAGCTTCATTAATGTTTATGTGTTTGAAATTGTCATTTCATAGCTGCATTTTATACTTCAATAATTTTGCTTTTTGGCGCTTACCACTGCCGTTATTTCAGAATGGCTTACGCCATTCCTTGTATTGACTATTCCTGTGTTCTCTGTCATAAAGAACTGATTAACAACAAAAGATACTGAAATCAATCTAATAATAAGTTGATGTATTTTTAAATCACCTCAAGCCATTGTACTGACATCATCCTTTTGTCATACGAAGGCTGATCCTTGGCATTCTTTGGTCTTATTTGTTAATCTGTAATTTGTATCAGAAATGCATATTTTCAAATGTGGCGTCAATAACGCACTCTTCAAAACAAGTTTAATGGTGTAGAAATATTACCAAAGCTTTTCAATTCGCTTATCATAACAACGTCTTTGGCATCCCAAAATTCATCATCTCATCTCTTCCCAACCCAGCCGGCATGTGCTACCGAAATGTTCCAAGAATGAGCAGTTTTTTTGAATTTAAAATACTTAACGTTCAAATACTTAACCGTTACATACTGCAGTTGAACGATTATGCTTATTATCATGCGTAACACAGCTAAAACTGTATTTGATTATCTGTTAGTTTTTTAGTTTTTGTAAGAATCTCTTTTGGTATTAATTAACATTATCTTGCAGCAAATAATATTTCCTGCAGATCACTGCAGTGTTTTTATTTGCTTTGCACATATTTCTGATATCATGTTGGGAAATAAATTCCGTTGTTCTTTGTATGAAAGTTGAGCAAACAAACTGGTAACACTGCAGCATTTGTCATGCCGTTTGTAGAATATCAGATTAAAACGTTTTGCCTGCGTTTTTCATGTAAACATGAACTGTCGACTGTGAGGCATTGAAGCAGGGTGTTTTTAAATTCCATATCTGAGAACATTAAACTCAATTTTCCAAGCCTTTGATCTAAGGTTTGTTGCTCTGTCGTTGTTTGCACTTCTTTCCAAAAATAAAATTGTTAGAATTAAGATCCCATGCATGAGGTCAACTTCCAGTTCTTATAACAACTGTAGAGTTTTTTTTGTTACATCTATTTGTTTACTACTAAATCAAACATGTAAACCACATGGAACGAAATAGAAGGCAGAGAATGCGAAGTAATAAAAAGTGAGCAAATAGAAGAGGTGACGAATAAACAGAGTTCAAACTTCCGTGTTGGGGGAGAGGAAAATGTTAAATTATTCTGAGAAGGAATTTTTTCTCTTCCGTGAGACTTAAAAATGGATGCTAGTGCTTCGTGAACTCGTTGATTTAAGCCAGAAAGTGTACGCTGTACTGAAAACCAGTGTATATCAAAGTTAATTTTATTTAAAACTAAATGAAAAGTTTCATACAGTTATCATTGCACAGAAATGGCATACTCAATGAAAGTTCTGTTCACGGCATCCTTATTTACGATGTTTGGAATGCTGTTTGGAAGTCTAGAACAGCCGCAGTAAGCCGTCCATTTATGGCAAGAAAAGTAATTATAATGTTTTCAGTGTTGAAATGTTAAGCTTGTATATGTAAATATAGTTATTCATATAAATTTGTCATATTTGTCATTTATTTATGTCTAAAATAACTTATCTATGACATTGTTGCTGTTACGGACATGCCTTTTTCTGATACAGTTATTGAAGCTTGAACGAGTTTCGGAAACTGTACCTTTCTCTCCTCATTTTAATCATATTAATTAAATCTTAGAGTGCTTTGTTGTTGACCAGTGCTTTTGTTGGCCATAATGACAAGGGAGGCTTAACGAAATGAAAAAACTAAGGAAATAGTCGAATTAAGTGAGTTGAAGCCCTTTTATATTACTCACTTAGTTCGAGCTCAAATTTACTTTCGGTGAAAAAAACTGAGGTCATTGGTTAAGTTGGCGTTGCTTAACTGACAGGTTGTTTTTATAACTTGTTAGAGCACTGATAGGGAAAATGGGGGAGGATGAAATGAGAGCTGACAACAACAAATGGGAATAATATCGTTTCTGTAAATAGTTAAGCATTTGATTTCTGGTGTTTTTTATGAAGTGTTCGTAGAGCGTTTTATAAAAAACGAAAAAATCTTAAAAAATTCGGATTCTAATTCATGTAACGGAAGTAGTTCTTTCGTCTTTTCGATATGAATGTGGATCTATGTCCCACACTGGACGGATTCATCTCCATGGCATCCTTTTCATTGCTTCAGCGTTCTAGATATCTCTGTTTAGTAGCTCCTTTTATAATCTTTCGAAATTATTCTGCCATTTCGTGGCTGGAAAGAGATTAATTCGGATTAGAACGCAGTATCAGGAAATTTCTGTTCTGCGGGTATCCATTTTCTCAGTTGCGGAACCCTGTCTATCTTGATATTCGAGCATTCGACTTGTTTATCAGTTAAAGTTAAAACGGAAAACTGATAAGAAAAACCGATGCAGAAAACTGAGATTTATAATATAAAATTTCTCAAATGGGAACAGTCATCCATCAGCAATGCTTTTCCATTCTTCCATCATAGAGCTCAAAGCTGTCATGTTTGGCACTCTAACATGTTGTTTGGTATTGGTGACCCTAACTACCTGTATGCTCTTGATTGTCATCCTCTCGTGATTTCACATAAAAGTACACATTCAGGATGCTATCTGTCGCACTGAAAATCTATTTTCCTGTTCTGAATCCAAATCACAGTGAGTAATTTTCAAAATTTCTGAAACTCCGATTCTTCTGGTCGCCTTTTTACGGTCTGTTCTAACCACCAGTACCGCTGTGTTCCTATGCCACTTATTAATAGACTGTGATTGTCAGTAAATTGTGAATGACTAGTTGTCAGAAATATGTAAATAAGGAAGTAAGGAATTTCCGGTAATCCGATGTCTGTCTTCATTATGGCTTAGAGTTCCCATCAATTACGTCAGAAGCAAACTTACAAAGCAGATATTCTTTGCCTTTCACACATTATTTGTAGTTGTAACATGTAGACTATTTTTTCTTGTTTTACCACTTCTTTCTTACGCACAAACTTTGGAAGAGACAGATTCTGCAAGCTGAAATGCTGTGATGTGTAACATTCTGATTAGCTGAAAAAGTTGCGGACTTACTTAATTATCTATTCAGTTTAAGGTAATGATTTTACACCTTCGACTAATTTTTTAGAAGGTCACGTAAGTCCGTGTCTGATGTGCGACTAGGTTGTGGTCGGGGAATGCCGCCACCACCGATCTGTAACGAAATTTTTGGAAAAATTAGTAACTGGCTGGAGCATAATAGCTTATTATTAGATGCATGGAAAGGGATTAAATCGGGTTTTCGAACGTCACAGAACATTAAATTTTTCGAAATTTTGATGCAGTTCTTTTCCATTCTAACAAATAGTTGGGAAACTATTCTCCAAGAATGCATATTTTTCCATACCATTTAAGCTACTCGTAAACGATGAATTAATTTTTGCTTTATTATCCTAGTTGAAATCCATTCTGTATAAATGAATATCATTATGGAGTTTTATAGTACCCGAAAAGTAAAGAAGAAACTTTCAATACACGTATTTTTTTATATTATTTGTTTGATAGTGCTTACTTTTTAATATGCCAAACAAAGACTGTGCTAAATTGTTTTGCTAAATGATGGGAATATCGCCGCGTTTTGATACATTTTTCTAAGCGATTTCACGTTTTTGAATTGATTCCTACAGGTAATTAACCCGTGTCACAGACAATTTGCTCGCGGAGAAAGTAATGGAAAATTTTTCCAGGAAAAAAATTGTTGTATTTGCGGTTTTTCGCATCGAGTTAGCAGTTCAAAGAATTGTTTTCGAACGGAATGCACACTTTCCTTCGGTGTATTAAATTATGGTAGTTATACCGCAAGCGAGTAACGTCATGAACAGTACCTCGACAAACTTCAGCGATAATTATGAAGTCAAGGAGGAGCTCGGGAAGTTGGTTTATTTTCTTGATTCCTTGCAAATCTCAAAAAGATATCCATGTTCAGCTACACATCAAATTACGGTCAAACTAATCACCGGAGCAATGGAATTTCCGTACAATATATGTAAACTTTTTGTCTATTTAGCAACTTGTTTGCGTTCTATAATTAATATTGATTTTCGTATATGTTTGACATGGAATTTCCGTACAATATTACTTGGTTATTTATCTAACGTAATGCAACTATTGCCAGCATTCTAGAACACATCGATGCATTTTTATTTAAAATGCATTTCGAAAGAAGTGAGAAAGATAGTGCATTACTCTCACATCGCAAGATTGCTTTCCTAACTTCATATATTCTAAATTTTAGAGGTGCGTTTTCGGTAGTACGACGATGTGTACAGAAACGAACAGGCATGGAGTTTGCTGCAAAAATCATTAACACGAAGAAACTTTCCGCACGTGGTTTGCTGCTGCATATTTGTTTCTTATGAATTTCATTTCTTCGAACAATGTAGAGCTTAATTTTATATTCATTTCTTTTACCAGAATTCAACCAGGATAGAGCTTCTTTTAGAAATTTTATGCCGAAAATCTTAGGAAAAAGCTATGTCCAATAAGTCCTCATTTCTTCACAAAATTTTTTTGCAATTTTTTTCTTTGTTTCAGATTTTCAAAAACTAGAAAGAGAAGCTAGAATATGTCGCAAGCTACAGCATCCCAATATCGGCAAGTGATTATCTTCAATTATTTTCAAGGAAAATTGTCTGTTACAAAGTTTTTGAATTTATTTTGACCAAAAGATAAACAAAATAAATTAATTTCAGTGCGATTACACGACAACATACAAGAAGAAGCTTTTCATTATCTTGTTTTCGATTTGTATGTGTTTTTCATGTCCCTCATCATAAATCTAAATTCCTTTTTTCCATAGAAACAAGAAGCAAATGAGCTCTCCGATCATTTTCGAAATAAGGTTTTGCAGAGTTTTAAATAGACGTTAGAAGGGCTCTTGTCTAAGAGAATTCTTGAAAGCGTTTAACCTCCGTACTGCTTCAAATCTTTTTCTTCAGAGTGACAGGCGGTGAGCTGTTCGAAGATATAGTTGCTAGAGAGTTTTATAGTGAAGCCGATGCGAGGTAATAGTAATCAGTTTGTTTTATCTTTATCAAATATAACATTTTAAGTTTGACAAAATGAAATTTTCCCTATCCGTCAAAACTGTATTCATTTTCAACATGGACCAATTTTTGAAAATACCATCCTTAACTTTTCCATGAAATATTCCAGTCATTGTATCCAACAAATTTTGGAATCAATTGCCTACTGTCACTTAAACAATGTGGTACACAGGGATCTCAAGGTAATTTTAGTAGAGAAAGCTTCAGATTATTTGATACGAGTTTCCTTAAGTTGATTTCTAGAAACTAAATGCTGAAAGAGTCTCTTGCAAGTTACAGGAATTTGATCAATCTTAGTGAAATGTTTCCAGGACTTCAAAGTTTATTATCAAAACTGCTTACTGTTGGTATTTACATAACTTCAAAATAAAATTTTCAGCCTGAAAATCTCTTACTTGCAAGCAAAGCGAAAGGTGCAGCAGTGAAATTAGCTGATTTTGGGCTTGCAATCGAAGTACAGGGCGATACAGAAGCATGGTTCGGTTTTGCAGGCACACCCGGGTATTTATCACCAGAAGTGCTCAAAAAGGATCCTTATGGGAAGCCGGTTGATATATGGGCATGCGGTAAGTTAAACCTTTTATTTCGATGCCACTGTTCTAATGTTTTTCATACTACAGTTCATAACACTTGCAGGAGTTATTCTCTACATTCTTCTTGTTGGTTATCCACCATTTTGGGACGAAGACCAACATCGTTTATATGCACAAATAAAAGCGGGTGCTTATGATGTAAGCGCTTCTTTTTTTAATGTAGGGATTACAAACTTTTAGGAAGCAGTTATTAATTGTCTGATAAGTTACTTAGCAAAAGCAACTCATTTATAGTTTATTCTTCTGAACTTCACGGCAAGAATTTCTGTTTTCATCTATGTCCAAGCACAGAATATTAATGTTTGTGTTGATGCTGACTTCGTGTAACTTTATACTCTTACCATTCTTAAAAGAATATCTTTGAATATCTTCGATATTTGTCTGCTTTTTTACTGATTTGATTTTATTTGCAGTATCCAAGTCCTGAATGGGATACAGTTACTCCTGAAGCTAAGAATTTGATCGACAATATGTTAACGGTTAATCCAAAGAAGCGAATAACTGCAGAACAGGCTTTAAAAGTTCCATGGATTTGTGTAAGTTGTTGTTCCCCCAAGAATGCAGTTTTCAACCAATTTTATTTGCCAGAACTATGTTTGTGATGAAGAATAACATTTAGGGCTATCAAGATAATAATTTTTATATTTAGAATCGTGAACGTGTTGCTTCAGTAATACATCGCCAGGATACGGTCGATTGCTTGAAGAAATTCAATGCTAGGCGAAAACTAAAGGTATTTTCTCATTTAAATTTCGTTCTAACAAATTAAGCTTTCCCTTGCATATTTCTGAGCTTTTTTGGATTTCTTTATAAAGCATACTATTACTTGGTCCTTCAAATTTTTAGAATCTTTTTTGGCCTCTTTTTTTTTGTTCTTCCTCAGTTTCTCCCTATTATTATGTCAAGTAATCCATGTTTTCCACATATTTACGTACACGCTATTACTAACTGTAAAATAGCATCACCTTTCACTTTCATTCTCAAATATTTTTCGCATGTTTTTTATTTGTCTTTTTCTTCTGGATTTATGTATTTCTGGGAACTTAGTTTTTTTTACTGATTTATGCGTTCATCACGTGGTTCCCGTCATCATGCTGATTGTATCAAACATTTTCAATAGTAAGTTATACCTTTGCCTTCAAGTTTTTATTATTTTTTGAAAAATAAGCGGGTTCTTTGAACACATTCTTGATTGTAATAATACACAGCCTGCTTTGCTATTGGTTTCTGGTTCCGATTTTGAAAATTTTTGGACGATTTTTTATGCTTTCAGTTTATCAAATCGTCTAAAAGTAATAAATGCTTCGCACAAGAATTTAGATGTATAGGGAGGGTTGTTGTAATTACTGATATAACACATTTACACATTTGCCAAAATGTGGTGTAAAATGATAGGTAATTTTTTCTCATTTAAATATTTTGTCATGATATTATGGAATTCCGAAGTATGGATTCTGTATTTCATATTACACTTGTCCACTCAGTGCCGTTTGTTTGTAAAAGCAGTAATCTCTGCCGTAACCGTTATAAAACGCATAGGTGATGATGTATCATAAAATGATGATGGCTTACGGTCACATATCATCATCTTGCCAGAACTGATGTCATGTATGGATAGGATTATCGATCTCTTCTGCCTGCCTCTGCTATCCAATACAGAGAACAAGTGACTGTAGATAATGGTAACAATAGCAGTAACTCAGTTATCCTGAATACGAGTGATAGATGTGAGGTAGTGTGTTGATTTGTTCATGTTTCTTTCATTTCGGTATCGCTACATTCATACTGATGAAATTGTTTTTTTTTTTTGTGTGGCATGCGTTAAACCACTGATATAAGTGACGGGCTCTCATACCGTTACTATAAGTTCTTGAAAACGTCGTCTTTCTCTAGTTTTTTTTCTCCTAGTTATGAAATGAAATAAGGTAAAAGCTGCAATTTTAACTTGGGGAGGGATTTGAACTGAATATGTAGATCGTCTCATGCTGCACTAGGAGGAACTCATGGATGAAAGACTGTATTTTGGTGCTTTTTTCTTTTTAGCTAATCCGTTAGTTTGTGAATCGTACCATCCTTTTTCATTTCCCATGTTACTTATTGTGTTTCCTCTTGCAGATATCAGCGAGCAATCCTGTTTCAGTCTTTTTTTTTTGCTGTCAGCTCATGCATAATTAAATAGTGGTTTATAATAGATCTCATGAAAAAGACACTTTGATTGCATACTATCAGATGTTCGTTTACTGATTCAGTATTCTTTATTGAAGCTTCTAGGAATTCGATGAAAAAATCTTTGAGGTCTGTTAATTATTCGTTTAGTCCAGCGGATCCCAACCGACGGCCCGTGAGAACTAAAATATGATCCGCGATGATACCGGCGCGGTGAGTAGAAAACAGGTGGGGGTGTTCTTGTCAGTGTCTGATAAGTTAATACGTCAAAAGTTCCTGTTAAAGTCTGTTTTCAAACTAACGAGGTTTATTATTTTTGAACCATGTGGTCGACTGTTACAAATAAAAAAGCCAAAGTGACCCCTGGTCAAGAAAAGCTTGGAAACCACTAATTTTTTTATTTGTTCAGTACATATCTAGTGTGCTTCAACATGCATCGATTCCAATAATTTCGAAAATTAAGTTTAAAATTTGGTATCCAGTGTTGATAATCTCTTTCGATCATACTATTATAAACCACTTAGGAAACAAAGTAGTTTTTAATGATTGCATGCAAGGCATAGTGATGGCAAGCTAAAACTTTAAGTGAATACAGACTGAGTTGTGGGCTCTTATATTTTATAACGTCTGTCTCTGTACGTTTGTCATTTGAAGCTTCAGTATAGGCGATGTGCTTGTTTATCGAAAAGCGCAAGAACTTCTCATGTCCACATTGAATTTCTCATATCCAAATTGTTTTTGCGTTTTTAGAACCTGAAATAATGTGCAGTGGCCACTTTTTTATGGCTTTTTAATAATTTCCTGGATTGATTGTTCCATTAGCAAACATTGCAAGGAACGCTTCTCTCGTTTGCATCTAATTTAATTGTATGTTGTTATTAAATGATAATACTACGTATCATTTGGTTTATCGGTGTGACTTATCATTATTATCGCTCACATTAATGCATAATTTAAATTAATTTGCTGGTAGTTCTCAGGTTAAGATGCAATTGGCTAATTTTTCAAAACTTATATGAACTAGATTAGGTGGGCGTTTGTAAATTTTAAGCTTGACTTCCTTTTACTATTATCTCTTATTACTGCTCTGTCGTTTCTGTGCTTTATTTTAGCTCTTACATCGGAAACTGCTCTTGTCCCTGTTTTTCATTTGAGAAATTATGCATTTGGTTCAGATTATTTTTATAACTTTACCATAAATAGTTTTTCCTATCAATAATTTGTCTTCTAGAGAAACTGGAAGAATTGATTAAAGCGGATATTACTTTACTTAACTCCGTATTTGCTACTGTTTCACCGGAAATCTATCCATACATGCCTCGCTGTATCATTACTTGAATCTAAAGCATGAAGAACAACCAAAATTAATTACTATATGTTAAGGCTTCTTTTATTTAGGACACTCAGTGACTGATCTAGGCAAGTTCTCTGTGAGTGCTATCAATCTTATTGGCTTTAAGCGGTGATCAGTGAACTATTTCCTGAGTAAAGCCGAATTGTCTTTCTTCATAAGCAACTGGGGTACATTGCTAAGCAAGCGAAAAATGCTTAAATTGGTAATATAATTTCAGGGTGCGATACTTACAACGATGATTGCCACACGAAATTTATCAAGTAAGTTCATCGACACTGAATTTTTAATTATTGAAATCCCAATGTTGAAAATTTGTGTTCTCATCTTTATTTTTTGTATTGAATTTTCAGGGAACCGTTTACGGTATATTTCTTATTTAAATTTTATCATGTAGGTTAGCTAGTAATCAATCGCACTCCTGGAATTTTATTGGCTTTGCTTATCATACGTTTGAAATGGGAATATAGAAATTCTGATTTGCCCAAGATTGTCTGTTTTGGTTTGTTTCCAGGTTGTCTGCTCTGAATACATCACAAATATGTTTTTCTCAAAATTGGACTTGCTATGGATGTGAAGGAGGGGAAAGGAGAGGGGTGGATTGATGAGAGGAATTCATCTCGAAAAATTTGTCGCTGCTGACTTATTTTAGTTGTACCTTATGTAATTTGTAAGTTCAGCATAGCATCCATTTCATTTATTTGTTTTCAACTATAATTATTTTGTAGCAGAAAAGCAAGTTATGTAATTTATACATGTTTCCTATAAATGACTGTAGTGAAGTGATAAGATTTTTGTAGAGACCGACTTGGTGCTGAAGTTCCATTACGTCCCACCAAGATAGAGTGACTGAATTTGTCAATTTTGACGATGTTGTTGCAGAAAATTCAAATTTGATTCAAGTAAAAATATTGAAAACCATTGCTTACCGTAAATTCCAATAATTGTCGCAGAATCTATGATTCGCTTATTATTAAAAAATTCCAGTAACCCTTGCCTTGTTCTATAAACTTGGGATACGAGGTTTTGCGCGCAGCTGGTTTCCTCCCCAATGAACCTAGTAAATGTCGGATTTCCTGCTCACGGACTGCCGAGCAAGTTAAACAATTCCTTCTATTTTTCTGGCTTTCTTACGACTAAAAAATGTTAAGCCGCTTTTTAAAGCTGTTTTTTCAAAGACATTAAAGATTTTGGCTGATACAGAGGAAACTAATTACTTGAACTAATTATCGCTGCTCGAGATCGTATTGTTCAAATTTGATCAGGAGGAATAAAAAAAAAAAAGTAGGTGAGGTAAATCGTTGGGCTAGGAAACATGCATTTCATTTCCATGTTTTTAAATGGGAAGGCAGTAGTAGGCCATGTCTACTATCGTTCATTCCCGTGTGAGTATTTTCTTATGTTGTCTATGAGTAATATTCCTGACGGCATTTTGTGTCTTCAAGCGTTAAACACCCAGGGATTCAAAGACTTGAACATTTGAAACAAATTGGCGTTATGATCGGAAGCTTTCTGGTTTTTGGCTACTTTACCTTTTTTTGCTTTTTTTTAGTCACTGCCCCAAAAGTCTCGAGCATTGTCCGATTAGTGATGATTTCTGCTGTGCATTTTCGAACTATATATTTTTTCCCTTTACTTGCAGCATTAATACTATAGTATCTCCGTTTGCTTCATATAAAATACCTGCAGAGGATATCTCTGTTTTGCAATAATTCTTATCGGTTTTCTTAGGTGGGTCCATTTTCATATTTTGACGATTCGTTGTCAATCGAAGAAAATTTCAATTCCCATTTAAGTTTATTTTCGACCTCAAAGTAAAATTTCATTTACTTCAAAACACTTCCTTAGAAACTCCTTTCATTTTGTTAGAATCTTTGTAAGAGCATGAATAGATGGGAAATTGAAAATTGGTATGTTCATTAAAAAAAAGAAAAAGAAGCTGTTGTGTTAAGGGTAAACAAATTAATTAAGCAATTAATTTGTTGTTTCCAGTCATTCTAGAACACCACTGTATCTGAATTTTTACATGTATTGCTTTATTTTGACCAACAAGCAACATGGTTTCATTTATCCATGTTATATGTCATAAATTATAAGTTTATCCATGTTATAAGTCCACGATCATATCGATAACAAAGAATAGTTAATATGCAAAAAAGTCATATGGCAGTGCGTATCTGCTATAACTGTTATTTCCTGCTCTGAAATCACTGATGTTATATTAAAGTGGTGATATGATTAGCGGTTGAATCGATATCATAGAGCAGTTAACTACGATTTATTTCGTTCATTTTTTTTTTACCCCATATAAAAGTATATTCAAACTTGACTGCTTCTTATCACACGCATAAGCGACTCTACTTGTCGTAATACAAGTTCGTTCTGTTTCTTTTCCCTGTTTGAAGATTACCATTGCATTTTCAATGTCGTGGATATAACACAGTTTCAGACTGAAATTTGAAATATCAAGCAATTTCATCGCACTTTTAAGCTTTAAAAATTAGATTTTGCATTTCAAACGCATTTGTCAATGGAAGATTTTATTAACTTACTAATCGAAAGCGAAGAAATGAAAAAGTTATCAATCCGTGAAATTAGTAGAGATATCTTATAGTACTAGTGCTGTTGATGTTAATAAGTATTGAATCATAGTATACCACATTAAAACATTTGCGCGAAATGTTTTTTTGGCAAGCAACAGGATGAACTTAAACGTAGCAGAAATGATAAATTACTGAATTGATGAATAATAGGCTGTGGCTACTCAACCTTACAAATTATTTCTTTCTTGGTAGCTTGATATATCCAGCGTACTGTACTAGCATACGTCTGTACTAGCACACGCAAAGCCATTTTAAAGCGTAACTTTCCCGTTTTCAAATTCTTGGATTGTTTAATTTGCTTCAATGTGACTTTAGATAATTGATGTGTACCGAAGCTGTTGTGAGGACTCGTAATTGTGAGGACTCTCGTTTTATATCTGATTTTCCTCTCTTGAAGCTACTCGTTTTTGCATGCTTTAAGAGCCAACAGTTTAAGGGTGACAAAAGCGTCGAAATTTGAATTAGATCGTTTGATTTGGTATTAGTAATTACTGCTTTTGTTAACATACTTTCTGTGGTTAGTGCTGTAAAATGTAAGTCATGAATACATACACAGTCATCTCAAGGGAACAGCCATTCGAAGCAGAATGTGTAGAGAGTTGCCCATGCTCAATTTCTTTTTTTCGATATCAGTATTATGATTTATTTCAGTTGCTTAGTAGCTTCACTATAAAAAGCGTTAGGTTACACTAGAAAGCTCAAAAGATCTGTCATTCGTATCATCAATATCATTCTGTTGCAGTGAAATATTAGCCTTTTGCAGGGATTTTATAGGATCCTCCCAAATTTTTGAAAGGGGTCTGACTGATGGTACCACAACATGGGTATTTTCGAATGAAGCTATAGCCACAGGAAGAGCAATAGCTGTATCACTGTTCATTCTATGCAGCAGCTGGAGCACTTTATTTTGAATTTTTTTGAGCTCGTTTCCACCAATGTTTTACATTTTTGTGGTTATTGTGGAACATTTAGCACAATTATGGCCTCTGTTACTGTTTGCCTTTACTTCCGTTGCTGTGTGCCATTTGGCAGCTAAATATACCAATATTAATGGTAGTACAGTTACGGCAACATTAACGACAACCCATACACTCGATAGTTCTATCGCCAACAACGGTCAATTAGGGAAAAGGCCTGCCAGGGAACAATACTATGCTCCGGGAAAAGTTCCATGTTTTGAATTCATTCATCCACTGGTCACTGTCATTAATATATTAATTGGTGAGTATCACAAATTAATTGTGTTCGATATAAAATCGTAGACGATAAAAAAAACGTACATCATTGATTAGAAGATGTTACAGTTTTAATTATCGAAGTGGTGTCTCGTTTGATTATGGCATGAAATTCTTTCCAGTTTTTCAAGGCTCGAAAACAGATGCCTTTCTTTTGGGTTAAATGGAGCGCTTTACTGTTGATTGTATATACATGTTTCTACGTTCTCCTAAGTTAAATTGTGCTGTAAAGTTTTGTACGAAGAAAAAAGTAACGACGTTTTTCTTTAAATCATTTTTTCTCTAAAGCTTCAAAGAAAATCATGCAAAAAGTAAAAGAATAAAAACTTTGTGTGCAAAGGACAGATTTTTTGAGCTGGGCGCATTGCTTTTGAACAGTAAACCATTCAATTTCTCCAATGTCCCTCTCTTTCAATACGTAACTTAAACTGCATAACCACTTTTTAAGACTATCAGAGCATTGACAAGGTTCGAGATTGAGATGATGAAATATAGACTTGTGAAGAATGGTATAAGTTTTCGGTGTTGTATAGATTATTTTACTTCAATTCGAAATGCATCAAAATGCTCAAAATGCTTGCTTCGTTCAAACTCAGTTCTTTTAAATTTAAAATCTCTAAGAAGATAAAACTAGAAAAATGGGGCTTCTTGCTGGAATTTTCAGTTAATTATAAAACTTGATTTTGTTTAAGGTCGTAATTTGCTGAATAAGAAAGAAGCACCACCGAGTACCATAAAGGAATCATCGGAATCATCACAAACAATTGACGACCAGGATTCTGACAAAGGTATCTGTAATTTCAAATCCATATTTTCCAAGCTTGAATGTAGTATTCAATAAAAAAATGTTGTTACTTTTTTCGCACCATTCATCTGACGTTCGTTTTCAAAAATCATAATAGTATGTGAAGAATTTAGTGTTGAGATTGTGGAAAAGTGGAACTCTGCATTTTTGCACTTCTTATTCAAGCCGTTCAAGATTAACTGCATTCTTAAGTGGCATCTGCTAGGAAATTGTCAGTAGCTGGTTTTGTGTCTTGCTGACTCTTCTCACGAGGATCATATTGTTAGCTTGTCGACAACAGCTTAATGAATTTTTCAAATCTAGTGACATGATATGATCAGAGACTCATCAGAGACTTTTTTTCCTGGAAAGATGAGTAGATAAATGATCTCTCAAAAAATCATCGAATTCGATCTTATTACTCTAAGAAGTAAATGGCCACATTCTTTTCATAATATCAGAAGGAGTGTAAGTTTATGATAATTAACTCTTGATTTGAATATCACCATATACTGTGGTGCATGTGGTTTAGTAGACTGCTAGTTCCCTTTTCACATTCTCTTATAACTAACTTTTTTTTACGATTGTTCCTTTATGACAACATTGAAATTAAATAACTCTAGTGATGTAAGGTATCGAAATGTGGAATTGCATATTTTTAATTCCAAAAGATGAGGTTCTCCAGCTGGTTGATTTAGTAAAACATTACAGTTCTTCCATGGATTCGACGCAAAACTAGGTATACGCACAGCTTTTATTTTGTTTATCCTGGACTCCTGTCTGATTTAAGTTTTAACATATGTATGAGACATTTCAAGGTAGTAACAGTTTTTTGGCTGATAATGGATTCCTTTCATTACCATGAATTAGCTTTCTCGTAATCTAATACATATCATTCGCTCAAATGCTTACTCCATCGTGTAATATTGCAGTTCTTTTAAATTGCTTAAAAAGCTATCGATAAATTAGGCGGCAATCATGTGGACTTCCTCAGTCATCTTCTGGAATCAGCTAATGGATACTTTAACTACTGAATAAGAATACTGTCGGCCGAAAATTTGATTTAAATTAGCATCTGTCTACCGACCGTTAAACAACTGGGACATAAGGGCCTCCTCCAACATATTGCATTTGGTTATTTTCTTTCAACATGGATGCACAACATTTAATCCCTAGGAACGCCGAGTATTTCGGTAAGTGACATTCACTGAATATCAGTCATGAAAATGAAGACGTCCCCCACTTGTTGAAATTTCAGCAGTTGCCACATTTCTTATAATTTCTGCTGGGTACTTGTGCATGGTTCTGCATGAGCATGAAATTAAGAGGGTATTTAGAAAATATTTGGCCTGCAGATTCGCAGTTTATTCCCTTGCTGTTCATCCTTTTGGCGATCAACAGAGCATTTCATTTCACTTCACTTTGAAAATTCTTACGAAAGTTTCTATTGTCACCATTCTATTCCAGCTTTTTTCAGTCCGTTTTCAATGTATTTGAAGTACCTGTGTGTTATTTCATTAAAGGATGGGTTCACCAAATATTAGTTTAGTATGCTGAAAATTTTTTACCTTACTAGAGGTCATTAAACTCCACTTTTTCGTCCTCTACTCTTCATTCCCTATCACTCCATATTAGTGACGATTTTAATTTGCCTTTTTAACTGTCAAAAGTTTTGTACACCGTTAAATAGTTCCAAAAATTATATTTTCCACTGTTAGTCCGTTTTCACAAGTGGGAAAAGTTTATAGTCTTCATTTCCTTTGAATAATTCTTCATCTTTCACGGTAAATTAACAGATCAGTTACAATTGAGATGAAATGTTGCCGTAAGTTTCAAAAAATCCAGTTTTATGTAGTTGAAAATGTAATAATTTAAGCATTTAATTGTGATTGAAAACTTTTTGAAAGAAAAAGCAGCTGTTTCACATATTTATTTGTTTGTCTGCCACAGCGGGAAAGGCGCTGAGCCACGAGAATACGATTGTACGAGTGGATACGACCCTTAAACAGCAACGAAGGGCGGCTGGAATAAGCAGCAGCATGGGCGGCCCATTGCCAGGTTCGCCCCTATAAATATCCTTTTAAGGTTAATTTGTTAGCAAGTAAGGGACTTGTTGGCTGCATGATTATAATGACGGACTTCATTTGCATGTTTCCACCTCGCTATCAAATACTTACATTCTTCTTATATCAATTCATATGGTAAATCTACTGAGAACTGATCACCAGAAATTATGATTCTTGGAATATTTGTTATCAAATTTATCTTTCGAAATCTGTTCAAGGTGATCATTTGCGATCATTGATAGCGCAGCGTGTTGCGCTTTTGGAATTGTTGTATTTCTGATTCATATTTATCGTTCCTTGAATATATGACCTAAACATCTGAAAATAATTTTGGTTTAGTCTCTCTACAAATTACTGGATATGATAGGAAGAAGTGACTCACAAAAAATAGCACTGAGTTTAATGATTTGTGAGCTTCTCTCATTAGGAATGTATAATGTTGAAGTTTAGAAGCGGGATGAGTACTGGAATGTATCTGTGTGTTCCGGAATGGAATTAAGACGAAAGTTTGGTTTGACTCAAACTTTGTATTCTGAAAAGGCAGCTGGATTGTAAAGAAAAAGCATTGTGATGAACCCGGATTTCCTGCAAGCTTTTTTCTGAAAAAAGAAAAGGCTTTGAGATTGACAAATGCCCCCAAGTTTGTTACTCTACCTTTCCATTTTCAGAATGATCAGACAGTGAAGCTCAAAAATTCCATAGTAACATCTATAGTTATTTTTCTGGAACAGGTATTTTCCTCATTTCTAACTGTCGCCACCTATTTTCATGCTTCTGACTTCATTCCTCCTCTCTTGTTGCTGCTGTTGGCTGTTGAAATTCGCATAACTGATTTATAATCATTTGTCTAGCTATCATATCTAGCCTTCATCAGTGATCATCTTTTTTCACAGTTTCCCATATCTTCATTCTCGCCAACTATTAATCATTTAGAAGTCGCAGTATTTTCTGACTATAATTTGCTGCCTCACAGAGCAGCTTCACCTATGCTTGCAGCTGTGTATGTATGCTGGCAATCTGCTGAAGCACTTATTCCTTTTTAGATGTATTCCTACCTCTTTCTCCGCTAACAGATGTATTTCTATCTCTTTCTCCGCTAATTTTGTTTTCTTTTCCATAATTTCCGAAGTGCTCAACACCAGAGAGGAAATGCTTAGCGTGAGCATATCAGCATTAGCGATACAGCTGGATCCTCGAGGTGCGTAATTTGCATTGATTTTTTTTTCTCCGATTGCCACTGTTACGAAACTGAATGCTATTATTTATCCATTTGTTTGTGTTTCATAGGGTTTAAAAAAAAAAAAAACTGAACCATTTTCAGTAGAATAGTGTCACTCTTCCAGACTCTGCGACGAGTAAAGCAATAAAAAATAGATGTTTCTTTTTAGTCTTTACAAATAGCCGCAACTCTATAAAATGATTTGCAGTTTTTTTGAAATGCATCTTTGATCACAATGTTCATTCCGTTCCTTACCTTAATATATCTTTTTTTGCTCGAAACTTTTATTCTGAATTTTTCTCCACTTCATTTTCTTCTGTTTCGGTTCCATATTATCAGAAATTTTCATCTCTCTGTAATAAAAAGTCCGCTAAGGCATCTGAGGACATAAACTGTACGTGCATTTATTACAATTTACAAAGTAACAAATGAAGTTCACTTGTAGAAGTATCGAGCGGAAATGTTTTAGAAGCACTTTTCATAAATTTCGATTCACTTGGCAAGCATTTGTTCCTGTCACATTAGCTTCTCACCCGCATGTGCTTTTTCGGAAAATTGCATGTTTTTTGCACGCTTTCTTAATATAAAAGAATTAATAGTCTGTAGTCAAATTAGGTTAACCATGGTGCCCTAAAAGTATGGTGACTCCAAATCTGTTATGACTTTTCCTGCTATAAGATATATAAAGTCTCCGATAGTTTGTACTACTTTGATGGCTTATTTCATAAGCATTTTTCAAGTGACCTATATGCAGTCGTTAGATTGAGATAGCTAAACAACCGGCTAATTCTCATAACTTTGTTATATATAGAATAAGAGTGAAATCCGCTATGATATTTTTAATGGTTTTATTTGCAGTCTTTGCGGAAGAATGAGCAAGTTAAAGATTTTTTATTGTCAATAACTGAAAGTGATAAAATTGCTGTCTTTTAATTTCGTTTGAATACTACAAAAAGCCAAGAACTCAGTAATCAGTTTTTATTGATTCTCCCTTATATATAAGTGTATATTATCTGTCTGGCAAGAATTTTTGTACCAGTTTCGAATCGCTGTCTTTTTCGGGCACTATTCAATATTTCTTGATTTCCAACTGAAAAAAATATGCCTTTGATGCATGTTATGTTACTAAATGAACTAGATAGCTTTTCTGTTTCTACAGCTAACGCATATACTTTCTACTCTTGCTCTAGAAGGATCAGCTTGTCAAAAAAGATCAGTTTAATTACTTAATAATTTGTCTACAACCCGGGGAAATAATTAGGACAAAGTAAATGAGTGGAAAATGCTGATAATTAATACACAAAGGTAGTGCGGTACTGTATTGGAGATCTGTTCACACACAGCCTTGTTAGGAGAATGATTTTATTAGGATTGATTGCATAGGTAATATTTAACTCAATTTAGATTAATGTCAGAAACAGTGAAAAAATATATGATATTGTTAATAACAGATGCAAATAATACTCAGATGATTAGAAAATGTTAAATTCAACGATGATGATATCCAACAAAAATTGTTCTATTTCCAAATGGGATTTTATTCTCATTTGTATTGATTAATATTCATCATAAGGAATACATTTCAGTTAAAGTGTACAAGCGGTGATAGAAATCAGTGCCATTTAAGCATGGTTTAGTTAAGGCTATCTTCTGGCTTTTTTATTTGAGTACTAATGAAAAGTAAAATAGCTACGTCTTCAGGTATTTTGCTTTTACCGATAAATTACCATATCATTCCCAAATTTCTTTGGTTTTTAGTATATTCTCGTCAAATTTTTCATTTGAATAAAAGGGGCAATTTATCACGCTTATGATTTTACTCCTTTTTTTTGCAAATCATCCACACTCCTTCATTGGCTACAAACACATGTTCTACCATTTTGGTCTTGCATTAATTTTCCTCAAAATTTCTTCAAATTTTTTTCTTTGGAAATCCTCATCATTTAAATTTGTATACAGTAAACTTCATTCTTACAGTCCAGAAACAAGAAATTGTTCGCGTAACACAGCAGTTGCTGGACGCTATTTCATGTAAAGACTACGAGTCCTATTCGTGAGTTTCATAGCTATTTTACAATTTTGCACTCAAGTCCAATAAACACACACTTATATTTAATTGGATTTTTATGATTATCCAGGTCTCCACCTTACCACAGCTTATCAGCTATTAGAATCAAAATACACAATTTATTTTATCCATTATTTTCCAGTGTGAGATGAAATCACTGGTTACATAGGACTTAAAGTTTAAATTTAATGGGGTTAATATTCCCAATAATGAGTTACATGCTGAGTGCAAAATTCGTATACTTTACAGCTCAACGCACATAATGAAAACTTATTGCACTAGAAGGGACTTTAAAAAATTTCAGAAGGCTCTGTGATTCATCGATGACATGCTTTGAGCCGGAAGCACTTGGTAATTTGATTGAAGGAATGGATTTCCACAAATTTTACTTTGATAATAGTAAGTAATCTTTTAATCCAAAATGTTTTCTGTGCTTAAATTTAGTCGCCTGAGGAAACACCGTGTTTTTATCTTTAGCAGGCAGTTTTGTCTAATATTGAATTCATTGAATTGAGGTTTTCCTGCTAAATTATTCGCTCAATTCTCCTTGCACTTACATTTCTCTCCCCAGTTGGTTTTGAAACTCGGAAGTTATTGAAGAAGAGTTGGCGGGAAGGGATGACACTGTTGGGTACTGTTTTAAAACTTTCGGTTTATTTAGTCGGCTTTTTTATGAATTTTGAAAGCTTACTAATGTTACGTATTGGTTGAAAGCGATTCAGATAGTGGAACACGCGGACCAAAAATTCACACTACACTGCTCAATCCCAACGTACACTTGATGGGTGACGAGGGCGCGTGTATCGCTTATATTCGTCTGACGCAGTTCATTGATAAGTACGCTTATTTTTTCCGTATTATGAAAATTCGAGCTGTAATTGTAAACGAAATTTCAACTTCTTGTTTAATTTTAATTAGAAAAGATGCCTCACATGGTTCATTGTCTGCTTATTTTTTCGGTAAAGCAATCTAAGCTGGGAATGAATAGATCTTGTTGCACCTTTAGGAATGGTGATGCGCGATCAAGGCAGGCGCAAGAGACACGTGTGTGGCATAAACGTAATGGACGAGGTTGGGTATGCGTTCATGTTCATCGAACCGGTGCACCATCTTCTGTGAATACGGCTGACTGTCATTTCTAATATATATCTTATTAAAAAATTTTCTTTTGATTCTAAACAAATGCTTGACATGCTGGATTTTGTAAACTTAGTCAAAGATCTTGTCCTATTGAAGCAATAATATAAGTGGTTTTTAAGAGTTCTGGAAATCTGTAATATAAAAACCAATTAAAGCTTCTAAGGGGACCGGTAAAACAAGATTCAAAGCGGAATGAAACCTACATTCATCTTCATGCTTTTTTTTTAATTTCAAGTTCTAGTTTTTGTTGTATTTTTAGTTGCTTACGTACGGTGATTTATTATTTGTAGTGAGTGCGCATAGTCATTGTATATTGAGTCTATGCGCACCTTCGGGCTGTGCAATACAGTGAATTATTAGCAAAGTTTTGAATTACTTACTGTCACCAATCGACCACTCCATTTAATTTGATGTTTGCATTTAAAAACATGCAAATTTTAGCAACAAAGTTTTGGACATTTCCAGTATTAATATAAATAACAATGTTTCTTGTTACTGGAATTTTCTCGAAAGTTCTGCTGTGTAAAGCGTTTTTGTAATTTTTTCTCACATATGCGAGATCAGAATCGATCAATTGGAAATGAGTGCATGTATTATCAGTGCATGTATGTTCACTGCCCTACAAAAACGCTAAAAGTATTACTTTTCTAAATTGAATTTTTGTTGTGTTTCCTGATTCCACTTTTCCTTTAATTATATTTTCATCGTATTCCCAATTAGGATTGTTGCAGTATACAAGGTACTGTTCCGATACTGATAGTATGTTCTTCCAACTTTCGTTGTGTTAGTGGGCTTGCTTGTTCTTATAATCGATTTTTTTTCATTGACTTCACCTTAAAAATATCAGCTAAAAAACCGGTGTTTTCTCCTCAAGGCATCGGGTGGTATTGATTCACATGTATAAACTCATTCAGTTCAGCAGTGTGCAAGCAAATTTATTTCGTGTTGTTGAAATCTTCTCAAAACAAGAAATTTTTTCTTCTGTGCCTCTTGCTTTGTTCGCTTTCAGAATAAGCTATTTCTCCACATAATTTTCTAAAGCCGTAAAGTGCCTAAGATGTACTGTACTGCCTGATTTAAAAGTGAATTTTAATCCACATAACACTAACAGCCTTTACTAATTATTCTATTGCTTATACATTTGGGGTGGGGTTTTGCATCTGATAAAGCGATTTTGAGAAATTTCTATTAATTTGATATTGATATCCTACTTTTACCTTTATCATAATAGTTTGGCACATGGTAACGGCTTAGAATTTGTCTGTCAGAGTTCGTTTATACAATTTATATGCCCGGTGGATGTAATTATGCTTAATAATGGATGGTACATTTGATAGTTTTTTTAATGCTACATTCCTTTATTTTCGTACTTTCAGTTTTTATCGTGGGATTTGAAGTTCGAGATTTCAAATTCTTTAGATTCACATAACCTATGCGGAAAAAAGATGTATCTTATTGCATTATTCGCTTTTTGCCGTTTTCTCTCCAATTTTTTATCCATTTCCCTATATCTTTCTCGGTCATTGTTTATGGCGTATTTACATTTTATTTACCTTTTGGTCATCACATTTCTTGCCCATTTATGACCTTTACTAAAGTATGCGGGATATTCAGTGCAACCGTTTAATGTTATACAAGTTCGTTCATTTTTTTCATGCTTTTTTTTTCTGCTCCGGCATATGTCTATTGTGATGATGAAAGAAAAGCACTGCTATATTTTAACTGCATTGTATCTTTTAAATAAATTCATCTTTTCCTAAACTATTTTTCAGAAGTTTGCAATATTACCCGACCACTGCTCCATAGATTCAGAATAAAATTTCATTCAGCAATGCGAGAAACTTTAAAAAAAAACTGTCGAGCTTCAATATGAGAAGTATAAGAATATTGTAAAAAGTTTATTAGAAGTAATGGTAAGTTAAAGTTTAGCAAAATCGACCATATATGTGGGATGCGATGTAATGGGACAAATGGCGAAGTTTGTTGTAGTTAATTTGTTGGTAATGTAGTGAAAATAAATGAATAAGTGAAGTAGGTTTAGTATTCGAAATATAGAGAAGGAATTCAAACTGGCAATAGTCCTCCCGTAATTCCTCGCTTGACTTATATAGGGACCATGTTTACATGATAGTTGCAGTTTACATATACGAACAGCTGTATCATCTGTACAATCTTACAAATCGGCGTCTGCACATAGGTTGTTTAACAATAACCATGCAGTACATGGTTTAACAGTTGGGAAGGTGAGAGTTAGGTAAATAACTCTTCACTTTAGATATAGAGAAGCGTTTATTTCATTTTTTCTTTTCGTGATGTGATGAACCTTTTGTCTAAGAAGTAGTCAGTACAACAAATACTTTAATTGTATTAACGTGTTATAATTTTCTCGGTTTTCCGACAAGGAAAATATTTTCTGTTGGAAATAGAGCATTATCACTTCATTGTCAAAGTTGTTGCGATGAGAGGTCATCACATATGAGGGACATTATGGTTCGGTTGAAGGTGAAAGATTCGTTCGTTGTTGTGATTTGTAAGGGAGAAATCGTGTAGACAGAATGGATGTCTGTTATGGATAGTTGTGACAAATGTAGCAAAAATCTAAATAGAAATGATTTAAAAAGGGGAAGAGAGATGAGCAGATTATATATGCGTAGATAGTTTGTAATTAAAGTAGGACGCTTTGAACTAGATATGCATTAGCAGTCACTATGTCTCATTTTTCATTTATAAAATGACTGTAATCATCTAATGGCAAACAAATGAAGATGGGAACGTGTTTCTTGAAGGTACTATTCAAATGCAAAAAGAAGAATGTGAACATTCGTAAAGGAGGATGATAAGGTATATCTGTGGGCAGGAGTTCATCCCTTTAGCAACTTCAATATAGTACCTCGTCACCATGTTGACCTGGAAACCACGATGGCAATGGCAATGAATATACTATTTATCGCCGAATCGATATTATGTTTTACTCTTTCGACAAATAGCCATTTCAATGTTACTGTGATCGGCAGCGACAACTATTTTCATCACCATTGTTGCAGCCGAAATTGCTACTATTATAGTTATTATTATTCGTCGTTGTTTGAAGGCCAACGGATGTTTCAGAACGGAATTTTAAAATCTTATTGCTTGAACTCTCTAATTTCCATCATTATTCTGTTTAGTATGCCGTTTTCCGACATCTCAATTCTTCTAATATTGAAACAAGTAACTCCTACCATGCATGATGATATGAATAATTGCTGATCTTTTTCCTCATTACCGCTGAATATGTTCTGCCAAAGCTTTTTGTCCGAAATTGTAAAATATTTCTCATTTTCGCTTTTATTCATCATTTCTAGTTCATGGTCTTATCATTTTTCACAGCCGGTACCTCTGACCGCGTCAGCGCTTGCACATTCAATAATGATTCCTTCATTTTTGCGTCACAACCGATACTTTTGACGCTATAATTTTTTATTCTTGCTTTAATATAATTTGTGCGAAATGGATGGTCCTAAGTCTAACATTAATCTTCTGGTCTCCCTTTTCAGGGTCTCATATTCCTTATTCGTTTCTGTTATCCATATAGTGATTTGTTTTTTATTACACCAACAATTAATATCTCCATTTTTATTTCATTTATAGCTCCTCCCTATACTGTTATATTGTTATTTTGAAGGATCCAATGATATTTGTATCATTGGATCCTTCATAGCCCAGTATTCTGATTATTTTTCTTCCCGTAGTCTTAAATGATATTGTTACACATTTTTCTGGTTCAGTTTTCACTGATAAGAAGTCTCTACCACCCATATTTTTTCTGTTAAAAAGTATAGAATAGATCTATTTTACTTTCACTCTTAACGATTTTTTGCCTTAATTTAGTTTCATTTACTATTCTAGTGAAGTTTATCATCACAATCACGTAAAGCAAAGGTGAAAAAGAATATGCTTGGAATACCGCATCTGATTTCAATTTCTCCAACTTCAATCTCCTTAATCGTTTATGTGGTACTCCGTTTTCTCGTGCCTTCCGAATTGTTAGACCAGCTTGGGGATCCAAAAGTGGTGAGGATTCGTACATCCTCCTATAATCTATCCATTCCGAAAACTGTTCTGATGTGCAGTTTCTTTCCATTTGCAATTTCTTATTACAATTTTGTCATTATTGATTGATCCCAGATATCACGCAATTCCCTTTGTGCTCGCCTGTAAATAGATTTCTCGAAATAATTTTTTTTTCTTTTGTATTGTATTGCCGATCATCTCTGCTAACATTTACATCATCTCTTGTTGTCAATACACATCCCATGAATATTATGCTGTAGGATATCCTAAGGTATAAAATCACCAAGATTTCTTGACGAAAATCCATACATTTTCTTTGATCCTGACATTGACCATTTTGACATTCATGGTCTTTTTCACCATGAGGTGGCATGCTTGCCAAATTTGATATATTTCATTTTTTGAACTCTTTCTCCTAATCCAATTTGTGTTTTCGTTGTGCGCTTTAAATTTTTCAAAGCATTAAAATGTGTTTTAAATCAGGATATTCACTGTTCACTATATGAGCAGTATTCAGAATTTTCAACACTTATTGTTAATTATTCTAAGACATTCCGCTCTGCCCGCACTGAATCACTAACCGTTGTAATCATCCACTGTTTTATAGTTTCTATGATTTCAGTTACAGTTTTTATTTCAATATGATATTTTGCTTCCATTCTTCTTTTGATTTCAGCCCTTTCAATGTTCGTCCTTCAAGCTCTTCAAATGATTTGTTCTAGTCTTTTCTACCTTCTTCTATTGCACTTTATTTGTTTATTATTTGTTTATTTGACAGTGCAGTCCTGCTTGCAACTGAGGTATTCCATTATGACCAGAAAAATATCGTTTAAATTTGCTTTTCATATCGTTAGGCACAGTTGTCGTCGATTGCTTCATCCGCAGTGTTGTATTTGGATTCAGCATTTCGGTAATCCTTCTTCCTGTGTATTTAGTGGTTTTCACAATCAACACGCTTCCCTCCTGTTGGTGTGATCGGTAGCAGTCTTTTCGCATCACTTTTCAACGTCGCTTTATCCTAATAAATGTCCATGTACTTTCTTCTAATTAGTGATCATCTGTCTTGTCACTTGTATGTTCCAACTTAATTTTTTGAACTATCTTCACTCCCATCCTTTCCTTCCTTTTCGTAATCAGTCTTTGGCTTAATTGTTTAGCTATTTTCCACTTCTAATTTTTTTCTCGCTTGCTTTCATCACTTATTTTCCTGGCCCGTATTCGATTGTAGTCTTTTGTTATCCACCCTCAGTATGTTCTCGCTTACCCTGCGCATCCATATCATTTCCATATCTTCCCTCGGCCGTTTCTTCTTTGAATTCTTTCCATTTTAGTGCAAGAGAATACTATTCTCAACAGTCAAGCATCTTTTATCAGCTAATTATTGCTTATATATGTTCAGTTTGGGATTGATGATTTTCTTTCCAGTTGCTGTTTAGCTTTCCGCACTGATCACTCAACGGAAGTTACTAGAAGTCCGTCTCAGAGTTTAACATCGAAGCCTAAGGTGAATTGGCATCCGGCGATTGAAATCATTTTTTCAGGTAAGGGGAGAAGAATAAAAGAAAGGTTCTTTCTTCGTGAACAGCGAAAGGATTGCGAAACGGACAAGATAAAATTAACGGACGCATTACAGATTCAGCGATTCATTCCTCCCTACAGCTTTGCAGAAAAAGGGAAATTTTCAAAAATAAGTTTCACCTATCACTGATTTAAATGAATGAATGATGAACGGAATACAGCCTCAAGTAGATATTTCTTTCTGCGTTTGGTTCCTTATAACAGGCTCTCCTTCATGGGAGACCATAGCTATAGTATCGTTAATAGGCGGGACACTTTTAAGAAACTCCTAGTGACAGTAAAAACTAAACTTTGATTTCTTAAGATCTGAATACTATCGACGAATTATTATGGAAAGAAATATGCGTGAGCTCTAGTTTATGCCACCCGCGTGTGAGATAACGGATTGCACGAGTTTTGATGCTTCCGCTCGGATTTTTTTTTTCAGCTTAATTAAAGATTCTCTAGTCATCGCTTAAAACACTGCATTCCGCAAATATTTGGGACTTTTGTGAAAATAAGAAGACAGGTGGGTCCGTTAAATGCAGTACTACGTGTTGTCGAATATTTGTCCATATTCTCATTTTCGTTTCCTTGCAGAAAAGCGTTATTTTTGTTCCTTCCAGATGAAAGGAATCTCTCTAAATTGTCATCTTTTAAGATCATCCGCAGATTCTTCCACAAGAATCTAGTAAAGAGTCAAACAGGTTTACCAAATCTAATTCCTGCATTTTAAAATCCGAAGTTCGAACGCATGGCTTTGTTACTTGTTCCGTGTTTCTTAAGCTAAAGCAACCATATCAAAAAGTTTTCGTCCAGAAGTTCGGTTTCTGACCACTTATATGAAATGTATTGGCATGATGTGGAGATAATTCTGTGGACCATTGTAAGAGATTGAAAATTCCATGTTTTGAAACACTGTCGTAGCTTCGATAACACTCCACAGCAAGTAATGTAATTTCGCTTGCACTTTATTGATTATCCTTTCTAGAATTTCTTTCCATAATTGATCAACAGACTAATTATTTTCTAACGTAAAGAAAAGGTGTCAGAGTCTCACATGAAAAATTCAGGCTATGCCGTTTTTTTGGGCTCCAATTTCCGTTTAATTCATAAATATGTCATCCACTTCATTGCCCCATAAGAAAATACATGCAGTGGAAATAACTTTTCAGTTTCTTAGCAAATTCTTTCGACTTACAGCCTAAACTGTTTTCATAAAAACAACAAGCGATCTACAATCTTATCATATTTTCGTAAAGATTAAATTAAATTTGTATGTTCATTGTTGAGCTCAGTTTACTCGTCGGATCTGGGCTGCATTTCAATAATACAAAAGCACAAGCATGCGTTATCACTCGATAACGTTACGTGAAACGTTTCACTTCATAAGCAGCGATTTGTACATAAACTAATATTCTAAAACTAAAAACAAAAAAAAAAGTGAAACCATTTTGATCTGCGGCTGAAAATTATTGGATGAAACATGCAACGAGACACGAAACATGTTATCCGGATAAACTGTAGAGAGACAAACTCCCCGGTACAAGTTGATAATGCTAATTGCGGACAGTCATATTTGTGCACCGCAGAGTCGATATGCAAATTCCCATGCGTGCATAAAGTCGATACTTTAAACCAGGAAACGGGTAGGTAAGTTCCTGCTTGTTAAAAAATTTGAAACAAACTTCATTGATTTCATTTCATCTGCTTCACGTTGTGAATAGATCGATAGAAGGTGGTGGCAGTGTCGATTATTATTGTGTGAAATGGGACAGGTCCGTCGCTCCTGTGATACCGCAATGATGCATGTTACGCCGGATTTCCACTCATATCGATTTTACCCACCAGTTTAATTCTTCAATCATTTTGTTTCTATTTTAGCCTAGCTTTCAGCACTCGTTACGTTTGGTTTTTTTTAAAGATGGAATTATCGAATTTAGATGAATATGCTTCTAGATACTTTTAGAAAAGGTGCGGTCTGTAGATAGTACTAATAGCTTAATGAGCTTAATGAACAGACTGGACATGATGAATTGAATTATTCCGCAGATTCCAGAAACTTCAGATGTTCCATTGTTGTGAGAATGAGTGTGGATGATGGCGATGATACCTTTTCTTAAGCAGCTGTCTTCGTATTTGCTTAGTGACTCACTTTTTTACGGTATGAGTGATTTTTTGGCTCTTTCAAAGCATTTGTGGATACCATTCCGTTAGTGTAATGTCAGCGATGATTTAACGGGTGGACGTAAGTTTGGATCAAACGGAAAGTATCTGAAATAAAGATTTCACAAATTATAAAGTGGAGCTCTGCCTTCGAGAATCAACTTGAGAGTGTTAAAAGTCTGAGGGAGAAGCTAGTTGATTTAGCGGGATATGCTGAAGGTAACTTTGGGAGGTAACCATTTTGCACTATCTTTGTACCAGCAAAATTTGAATTTTTTTGGTCACTTTTACTTCAGCTTTATTGATTTAATTAAGGTGTGTATTTCCGGATTGAAGTTTTTCCCGTTATTGTTTTGTATCGTTTAATACGGTTCATTAAAAATCTTCGATTACCAACCGATTGTTTGATCAGCTGGTTGAATAACAAAAGCGCTCTTACCTTCGTTTTATAGCATTTCTGTAAAAGACATAATTCATGTTAATGCACGAATCGGAACCGAGCGGGTAAGCGGAATTGGAATACAATTTGGTTTGTTATGATGGCTGCTAGCTCGCTAATTGAGACGACGATGAATGCCACTCGTCAAATCATCAATAACATCGAAAAGTTTGTTTATTTCTATCTTATGCGATGGTTATTTTTTGGATTTTTTAAAATCAGACGAATCTTCCGGAAATTAATGGATTCTGCATTTTATTTTGTTTCGAATAAATCTACTTCGAAATTTCGCTGACAGTTCCTTTTCCTTGTTTTCTACCTTTGTGATTTTTCCAAAGAAACTGAAAGAGTAATTGTTACCGAAAGTAAATTTAAAAAGAAAAAACTAAGCGCACAGTGGAACACTTACGTACTGATTATGTCATCGACTCATCAGGATCTTCTCGAGTTCTAATTCCAATGATTCTTAGTTGTTCATAACTGTGATTAGGCTTGACTTCGTTCACTTGCTCGTTATTTCCAATGATTTAAATGGCGAAAAGATGCAGAACGTATTACGAAGGGAAATCCATATTTTTTTGAATTACAAGATCGAACATCATCCGTCCTTGACTTCCATTCAACTGATGCAAAATTGGAAACATCGACATAACGTGCTGTAATAATCTGAAGAAATTGCTTCTTAATTCCAAACACTTCGTGAACTGCTTTTCTACAAGAAAATGCTGCAGTACACGTGGTATCGGATTTTTCGTCTTTGGCTGAATATCGAAATTCCGAACGAAGCACGCTCTACCAGTAGTGTAAATTTTAACTGATGTGCCAGATTTCTCAACCGTCCACCTAATGTGCTGCTTAGGTTTCTCTGTGGCAGGCATATATCCCACATCTTTTAAACATTACTCAGCTATTCTCATACCACCAAAAATTGGACCTAAGTCTCAAGTGAGAATTTTGAAGTTTTCAAATAGAATTAGTGCTAGTGTAGTTTTCAAATAGGATTAGTGCCATCAGTCGCCATTTTTCGCCTACAGTACTTCTGCGTTAATCCCTAAGAATATTCTTTCAGTTTTTAAAATTTTGTTGTAGTTCTCCTCTTGTCATTTCTTGAGAATTAGTATCCTTAGTAATCATAGGTATGAAGATAACACTGCAACTGAAATGCAGAGCAATGGTTCACTGAAAGATTCACTTTTCAGTGCAGATAACAATGACGCTGCTAAAAAATCTGTTCTGGAACGACTTGTTTGCACTCCCAACGAAAATGTTAGCATTTTATCATCGTTCCTTAAAAGTCGCTTAATACAAGCCTTTTCTCAGGTAATTTTTTTTTCTTTTTAAATACTGGAATGAATGTTATGTATTGTTAAGGGTTTGGGAAATCCAGGAGAAATGAAAAAGAGTACTGAGCGAACATCCAGTAATGGTGGTGACATTAGCCGGATTCTTCAGCAGTTGGAGCAGTTGGTCCGATCTGATGACTGGATCAGTAAAGAAGTAAAAGATCATGAGGAAAGTCCGCAACCTTCAGAATCCTCCCAAAAGAGGTTATCTTATTTTGTAACATTCACCCGCTTTCTACTGCTTTATAAGTGCTTTTCTGTATTTTCGGCACACGATGTGTCTATAGCTCCGGTGTTCCGTATTTACACAGTACAACGTAAACGACTCGTAACAAACTTTGTAAATCGATGGCGTTATTAAGTAATTTTTGCTGAAACAAATGGCAGACAGCAACTGGACTAGAGTAACTGGTAAATCGGGAACGTGTGGACAAATGGAAATTGGTGGTGAAGCCAAATTAGGAGGGTGAAAGCGGGGCATGCAATTAGCGCATAAGCATAGAGGGCCTTTAAGTGAAAAGGGTCGCTCAGATTTCATGAGAATACAGGGGATTTCCACTAACACCAATACTAACTGCATTGTAGTCATTTGCTTCTCGACACAATACTATCAGTCTACAAGAAATAACGTTTGAGTGACAGTGCAACATATTCGTGAATGCTTCTATTTATTTCTTTTAAAATTATTCCTCCACCCTCATATAACCAGTTATAAAATAGATTTAGAGGTCACCTTGTCATTCCACGTTTATCGGAATTGGGACGTACATTGGTTACCAGTTCATCCCTCAAAAGTTATATCAATCTACTTGGAACCCATCATAGACAGTGTATTGCTTCTTGGCTTTATGGTAGCACATCGCAAGCACTTAGCACACTCTTCCATACACCCAACAACAATTTGCACTGTTCTGAACGTGACTCATCATTTTCAAATTCGATCAAAACTGGAATTGGTTTGTTCATTCCTGCATTTCAAATTCGCGTCTAAATTACTTGGTGTTAAGGACTATTACTGATAGTTGGAAGCAAATAAATTACTACTATGAAGTGGAAATTAAATTCCGAATCCTTTTGAGTGCTTGATGGTAAATTAAATGTAGTTGTCGAATTGAGTTTTGTTATAAAGTTTGACCTTCAGGTCATGCGATTCGTCTTGCATTGCATAATACATACGGTTCCGATTACTGTTCAAAAGGATGGCGCGCTTTTCTTGAGATGGTTAGTTTTTTTAAATGGAAAATAGCTTTTTATCCCAAGAAATTAAAAAAAAATAATGCAAGAAATGAGTTGTTCATATTATTTTTGAGGGCCCACCGGTGGTGTATATTTCACCTGCTTTACACATCGATCTTACTTCATACCTCTCTACTGAATACTTGATTGGAGACATTGTCATTTTGAAGAAATCAGATGGAGATCTTGCTGACATTGAAGGCCGCATTGTATGAGCTTTGCTTATTCCCTAAACTTGTTCTTATGTAAATAGTTTTAAGGTTCAGATGAAGATTTTGATAAACTATTTGCATCACATTTCGTACAGACCGTAAAATTTTCGGTCAAATTTGAATACTTTTCAGTCCGAAATTTGAAGTCGTCTAGAGCTACATTAAGCATTGCTAGTGTGGAATATTTGTAAAATATCTTTCCATCCTGAATGGTTGATACCAGGACCACATCGCATTTGAAAAACAGCTTGATGACGACATTGCTGCTGGAAAGAAACCGCTGGTCGTGATTGGAGTTGTTGGGTCATCAATCCTTGGGCAGAATGATATCATAAGTCGTCTTTTGGAAATAAGGAAATCCAAGGCTCAATTCTGGTTGCATGTTATTGGGCAGGTCTGTTATTTTTCCGACTTCTAATTTTTTTTCTTTCGATGGTCTCGCATTTTTAGGGTTTGGCTGCATTGTGTTTGAAGGAACCGTCCGAAATGCTGGTACACGTGTTATCACAAGTGGACAGTTTCACGGCTTCCCTTGCGTTATGGCTTGGTATACCGACAGCACCCGTCATTGTATGTGTTTTTGAATGAAGTTTCCTAGAATTTGTTTTCAAAATGTGGAGATGCAAGTTAATTATTACTTTGTACTTCATATACCGTGTCGAGACATCGGTCAACTCTTAAGCTATGCTATCTTCATGTTCCAAAATCTCAATCATAACTCTTTAGGTCTGTAAGCTTTTTTTTATAGACATTGCATCGATCTGTTAATAATTACAAGCCGTTATATCAAGAAAAACTGGCTGTACTGCCATGGTGGGTCGCATACCATCATTTGACAGCCTCCAAAATTACTGATACTATCGAGAATGCATACTTCTTGGTTCGAGTTGATTCTATATGTTTGTGGGGTAGATTTTTACACTTCTCCATCATCACTTTTTATCGGGTTCAAAAATTCTTTTTGATATTGCAGAGCAAAGTGATGCTTCAAGGTCTGACAGCTTTTCCCCAAATCGAAATTCTCGGTGTTGAGAATCCTATCGAATTTGCAAAGCGCGTTTACAAAGGGATCTGTACACCTCCCACTGTTCTGATTTTCAAATACAGATGCCGAGACTTGAAAGAGGTTAAAAAAGTTAGTTCCACAGTTCTCAACGAAATTGTTCTTTAACTTGTCACAAAACATTCGTAATTATGAAATTTTAGAAATGTCATATTCTATAATTATAGTGGAATCAGTGATGAAATTAAGTTGTAGTACTATCGTATTTAGTGAAATAGCTTTGATTCTTCTCTCTATTTGTCTCTCATATATTATGGTGAAATCAGTAATTCACAGTAAAACTTCCTAGCGCTGTTATTTCACAATGTTTTAAAATGTGAAATGTGCTCAAAGTTATATTTTTTTCCTTCGTCAGATGTTATGTAATATTACGGAAATACCAAGAGTAGCGTTTTTCTTAATAAATTATTTCAAATAGGAGTTTGAGTATTCATATTATTTTTTAAAATCTTTGCCGGACGTGTTCGTACCTATATATATAAATAGTTTTCTTGTTTTATTTTCAAAATTATTCTTGCCAAAGGTGAAGTTGAATTTTTCTCTTACACTGGGGAAAAAATCAAATGTTGGGCATCGTTCTGCCAGTAATCACCACTTTTTTTTCTTGGAATTTTAAGTTTTCGTATGAATTGTATTTCTCGTTATTAATAAATTAATAAGTTCCAGGAGAAGATTCCCAGAGGTAACAGTCAAAGTTCTTCGGATATTTTGACAAACGACTATGTATATTCGGGTGATGCGAATAACACGTATTTCTACGCTTCTTCTGCGACATTTGATAACGATATCGACAAGCTAACAGAATATGCTGATTCATTGAATTTTTGGGTGGTTTTTCAAATCTCCCTGACTGACTTCTGATCATCCAGTTCACTATGTTTGTATGACTTAAAGGGATTCTGTTTAATTCGCGAGGTTCACATGGACTGGATTCTGTACTTCCTCTAAGTCACTAAAATTTCTTCCAAAATCTGTGTCTTAATGTGAAGTATTCTAGCTCAGTCAAGGACTAATATCAGATTGCCGCCAACTTGGACTGCAGATGATTACTTTTGGTGACTCACATCTCTCTGCATTTCGTTTCTGCCCACTAGAAAGCGCTGCTCGTTAGTTTTGTACTTTCTGTTTCTCAAAAAAATATTTATTAAAGGAACAAGCTTTCTATGTGATTTCGAAAGGTGAAAGCATTACGAGTCGCTAATATTGTATCCTTCTGCGAATCCTGACTATAACGTAAATTTGAATGGACGTTTTACACTGTTAAAATTCATAATATCTCTTGCTATTTCAATATTTTTGAAGATTTTTTTTACTCTCACTCATGTATTTTCATTGAACTGTATTCACGTGGACCATGTGCATAAGTTTACCAAGCAACTCTCCGATGCGCTGGCAATAATTGAATCGACTGTTACTGCAAAGAAACGTTTCAAGGAGGTTGTATCGAAATATCCGTCGTTGGGACTAGCACCAGTTCGCAGATGGGGTGGTGTTGGAGCTGTCTGGTAATTCTTCTTTAAATATTAACTATATAACTACGAATATATTATAACGATCGGCTGGGAATAACGTGTCAAATGGAAAGTGTAATTATTTAAAAAATAAAATTTTTTCAAAGCGAATTTTCGGACTAGTATTGAAAATAGTCAGCCAATGCTGCGTCTTCCCGGTGATCGAATTTAATCGGGATAATTTTTTATCCTCATTCTTGTATTGTTTTCTGAATATATTCATCTGTATCTTCCATTTTCAGTTATATACCTTCCATTGTGAAGGAAACTCCAATGAATGAATGGAACGAAAAACAGCGTCAACAGGTTTCCCTCTTCCTTTTATGAAAGCGATATCGCTTTTGCAAGAATATCAGCGATTTTAATGCAAAAGCGATATATTTATGGATATCAGTGATGATCAGGTATCCAGTAACTATTTTCATGAAAATTCTGTGATAGGTGTCTCATTTGAACCTGGAACTGGTACATTCTTTGCGATTCGTAGACACAGCATTCTCTAGTGGTGAAAGTCCTGCATATGGTGTTTCGTGTGTTAAATTTGGCATGCTTTCGGATGACAAAGATCTCACTGATCTGGTCCATTTGGTTGCAGAGCGTGGAAAAGAAATTGAGCAGTCACAAAAGGTAAGATCCTGAACGAGCGATCGCCTTTTGGCTTATACTACAAATAAAGTCATTCTTACTGCATTTTTTAACGTTTCTGAATATTTATATTCACTCCCACCAACAAGTGGTTCATTAACTTTGAATTTTTTTCCTAATCAATTCTGCCAACAAGTATTCAGCATAAAATGGCTCACTTTGTTCTAAATTACCGTGCTTAGGATTTTAATTGCAGTATATAGACAGTTTGGCTGAAATGATACGTCAGGGAATCGAGGCAGCAAATAAGGATTTAAAACGCGAGAATGATGCGCGGCTTATGCAAGAGGTAATATGATTCATATATGATTCTTTAGATTTCGATACTTCTAATAATAAACATCAGGTGATGAAAACAACAAAACGATTACATTCAGTACAATTTCTCTCCGGGAATTTCCACGCTGCGCATCAGAAATGATCAAAAACTGATCACCTACTAGTCATTTATTTTAATCCACCTGATATTTGAGTTCTCAGTGGTTGAATAATGGATTGATGAGCAAAATTTATTGCAGGGTATGATGAGGCAAATTCCACTGATGAGTTCATTGGTTAACTGGTTTTCACCACTGGACAAGGACTTGCAGAGCATTAAGGGTCGTTCGTTTGACTTAAAAACTGGTAATACAACTTTTTACATTCTTTAAAATGCTTTTAACTTGTGAAGAATGAGCCTGTGAACCATACTTTTTTTCAAAACCCGAAGATATTGTTTGAAGGACAAATTCAATCAACGGAAGTTTACTATAAACACCAGTTTATGAACCGGATAGACGCCATTTCTCAGGATCCTCACCATACGGTTGTGAAGATTTCCAGTGAGTCAACAAAAAAACAAAATAATGTTAATTCCAATAGGGATGCCGCTTAGAATGATGATATCGCATTAAAAAATGCAAAGGAAATTGACCTTGGTCCAAGTTTGTTAAATTTTCTGTTCCATTTTTTTTGCGATTGCTTTTCTAGTATATGGGACTCCCCAACTCTTTATTTTGAAAAGTATGGAAATTCTCAAGAATTTCTTTGGTAATAAAGTTTCTTAGAAACAAAAAAAACAATTTCCCTTTGATTTTTCCTTTCCGAATCATTTTCAAGAGGATGCGCAGTTTGAATCTTTCAGGCAGACCTAATTCAGTGGTTTGGGAGAAGTAACTGGATATGAAGGCTAATTGTTATCATTTTTTTTTGCTTTTTTGTTTCATAAATTAATCACATTGAGAGCTAGCTACTTCAAGTTTGTTCCAGCTCACCTTCAGGTGGGATTAAAAAATGTACTTCGTTATCGTCAACCGTCCATGTATATTTTGGAACCAAGTCTTTCCATTTCTGAACTTCTTCACGAGCTATTTTCAGAAATTTGCAAAACTAATTATCTTATGTTGCACATAAGGGAAAGCTATTTATTTTATTTTAATTGCGACAGCGCATTAGTGATTTCTTATCATGTATATTCTAGCTCTAATAGCGCAGTTCGACTACTTCTGTTGGATTCCCTCCTTGCATTCTTTGTATCTTTGCTGCTGATAATGCATCTGCATGAAAATAATGGATGTGAAGGTTGCGGAAAGATTCACTGGTGATTTTACGAAGAATTTAATGGCATGAATCTGTGAGCAAAATCCAATTCAATAGTTTGTAAAAAAAAAGGAAAAGAAAAATATGGGAAGTTCCTTCGCCCCTCTTTGAAATGATTTGAGTCAATTTCTGGTCGGATTTTAATGTTCAGCGTTTTTAATGAAAACGCAACTTCCGCCACATTTCAGACCTCATAGAAAATTTTCGGGATATATACAAAATCTGTGTTTCAAACATTTGTGGCGCAGATTTTTGATTCTAAAGCCAATGAATTTTCCCGGTCTTCCTTCTCATCTCATTGCAATATTTTCTAGCCCCAAATAGCCGAAAGCTCTTGGTTATATTTATGTGTATAATAACCTGTGGTGGTTTCTCCACTGTTTCAATTGGTTTTTGTAAAACTTGGGAATCAAGATCATTTTTTCGACTTCACGTACGCTATTAATGCGCATTCACGGATCGACTGCTCCGAAAGATCCCAAATAATAAGGAAGCGGGCATGGAACTCGACATCAACCGAAGAAACATTCCCATGATATAGGTTCACCGACCCTGCTGGGGTGCAATCTACTCGGTGGACGTAGCACTATATTACAGAAGCAAAATTAATGTGAAGCAAAAGCAATCGACATCGCAAACAACTCGTTGCCTTCCTTCCATATTAGACACCTTCTCGAACTATGGTAGTAATAGTCTGCCTGGTTCATTTTGTCAGATGTAGGATTTATGGCGTGGATTAGGCATGTAGGATTTCTGCTTCCCGCATTTACGAGTGGAATAACATCAATTCGTTACCACCTGGAAGTCGGCCATGTTTCAACTACATCAGAAAAAGCCCTTTAAATTTGTAAAGAAACCTTCATAAAAAGACAGGTTTATTCTCCAGAAATCATCAGTGAAGAAATCCGGATGTTTTGACAAACATTTCTTATTTGTAAATTAAAATCACATCACAAACAAAAAATGAAACTGTTTTACCAAAGCGATGCTTCTAAAATATACCCTGACTCCGCGTCAACTGGATCTCTCATGAGGAATTTTTTAAAGCGATACGAAAAATAACAAATGAAATTGCTGCGCGAAAGACTTGGTGCCCTCAACGTCATGTTATGGAAAAGTGCAAAAGATGCACATTGCTTTTTCGCTGCTGCATGTGTATATAGGTTCGTTTTAAAAGTGGCTTCAGCTGTTCAAGTCCATGGAATCCCATATTTTCATTTTCGCGGGACAATCTATTCCAAATCATGGTTTTGGTTGCAGTTCACACACCTATGAGTTCGTCCATCTGGACGCTCTGAGAGAGATCCAATGCTACCGCGTACGAGACAACATTAATCGACTCAAAATGGATCTTGTCGATAAAACAATGAGCAATAGAGCATGAGATGACTTAACTGGACTAGAATTTGGACAGCAAATTGATGTAGACAGAATTCTACGTTTAGTTCACATATGCAATTTGAAGTCTCCACCACTATTGAAATCGGTAATACTGAGACGTCGATGTTCCTGCAATACTGACCTTGGGCTGAATCCCACTTTAATGACAACTATCAAAATTTCCTCGCTTCTAGCAATATAACAAACCGAAAAAGTTTCCCACTACAAATCTTTTCCAATTTCTTATCAATTACTACATTTCATCCAAACAGCATTTTCACGGAGTTCGGGCATAACACCATTTACACATTCCAAAAGTTCCAACCCAATAATCCAAAGCTGTATGGAAAGGATAAAGTGAGAGCGTAGACATTACAGTTCAAAATTTTATTCGATTACCTTCTGCTTCGTATGTACTTTGGTATGCCGTTTGCGTTCATCAGAACGGGCAAACTTCCTTCCACAAATATCACAGCTAAACGGTTTTTCACCTGTATGAGTTCGTACATGCGTTGTTAAGTGATCACTTCGTGAAAATGCTCGCATACATATGCGACACTGTAATTATAACTTCAGATCTCTGGAATTATAAAGATGCAATTACAATAATTACAGTTTTTGATTGGTTTGAAACGGCACTAAAATGATTTTAAAATCCGCCTTCCTAAGCAATCGTGAATCAAAATACCCCTCCCATCGCTATCAGTTTTTGAGAAGTTTGAAAACAAAGCTAATCAGATTCGCATCTTTCAGTCTAAGCAAACTCCAGAGACAATGACGAGCAATCCATTTCTTTCTCACCATTCGGTTCTAACTGAATTTTCAGACCTACTTCCTGACGACCTCAGAAAATATTAAGTACCAATAAAACTCGAAAGAACCCTAATCTTTCCATGAAATTCCACCTGAAAAGGCTTTTGTCCTGTATGGATCCTGATATGCCTCGTCAGTTCATCCGATCTCGAGAAACGTCGGTCACAGTTCTCGATTGGGCACTTGTATGGTCGTTCATGTGATGGCGGTTTAAGAAGACGGTTAGAGCACTTGCCGACTTTCACCGGATTGGCTATGAATATAACTAGTCACGGTCATTATATTCGTTAAAATAAAATGACTAATAAAAAACAGAAACAATCTTTATCCAATCTTACTGTGATATATTTAATTTTCTGATTAATTAGAGGATGCAAATTCAGCTTAAAAAATTACTCTGTGCAAACTGGGGTCCCGATTGAGCAAAAGATAAAGGTGCCCGGTAATACTCGTCTGCAGGTTCTGGTTTTGGTTGAAAATCCGATCTGAAATTAGATATATTAACTGGACACAATGTCTAACGGTAACGCTGATTCCGCAAATAAAGTGCCAAAAGAAATTTCGAAACAATCAACCATTTTAAATAGAATGAGGAAATTTGAATAAACAAACCGATAGATATTTGATGTCCCACTGATGGAAGCCTGGTTTTGGAGCGGCCGGGAGGGACAAGGTACACCACTACAAGCTAAAAAATTGCACGTTTGATAAGAAGTTCGTTGTGTGCTTGCTGAATTCGACTGATTGCTATTTTGTGCTTCTACTGGACTCACTGTACAAGTAATGTTTTGGTGGATCTGCAAATGCACCTTAATGGATAGAAATGTACTGGATAAGTTCTTCAAGGGTGAATCTTTTCAGTTCATTAGATGAAGTAAATAAAACTCTTCATAATTTTTGCACAACTTCACAGAGTATCATTATTTCATGTTACTATCACAGGTGTCAAAAATGCAAGTGTACAATTTTAATATAATTTGTAACAAAACTTAAACTACAAGTGAATAGCGATCAAGACATGCCCGTTCATGGATTTGTGAAAAGAATGAACCCTAACATGATATTTGTGCTGATGCATTTGAGCTTCCGAGGCACCAGCAGATACAATAGGTCTGATTCGAGCATCTTGTTGTTGAGTGCAGTGTATCCCGGAACAAACAGCATTCGGCGTGGTAGCTGAACTGAATCCGTTTTGTCGTACACCAGATGGTCCGGGTGGAGGTGTTGTGCGTCGATTCCCACCAGCGCGACCGATCTGTTTTCAAATTTTTGAATCGAGATTTCCGTAAATTAAATTCATTTTGTGTGGACTGTAACAGTATATATCATGCTTGCGAAAAAGCTAACGCTGCGAAAAAAGTTAATACTGTGTGAGGGAAAACACTTGGACAGCAGAAATCAAAAATGTTTCAAACCGAGCACTTAAATTTCAAACTACTTAAATAGAAAGAATATTCACTTCATTGTGTAAGCTCAAAATTCAGTGAATTTATATAAAGCAAACTTGCAGTAATTCATAGATGTAAACAAATATTTCAAAAGTAGCGAATATGTTATGCACTGTCTAATCTATTTAAAGTCGCAAACATTCAAAGTGGTATCACGACAGCTGTTTTACACTTAACTAAGACATGCAAAACAGTCATCCAGAAGGAGGGTTCAATTTTTCAAAAATGGGGTAATTTATTCTAACTAATTCACTTTCAAATTTAAACCTGATTTTATGAAATATTTTGTCTGACGGTCAAACTAAAACAACACTTACTTGTATATAATCTGAGAGAACTTGACGACTTCCAGATACTGATGAAACGGAAGACTGAGAGGTGGATAACTGTTGAATCCCAGTGGCTGGTAAGTTCGCTGCATCCTTGTTATCTTGAAATACCTGAAGAGTCCATTCCCTTATTTGGTTCGAATCCACAAATTTAATGATCCCCATTGAAAAATTGTGCAATGGAAGCATTACCTTAAACAGATCGGTTGTGTCCGTAGCATTGGGTGTCTTTGCATTCGGGTCGAGCACCAGTAAAGGTAAATTTGCATTTGTCTGCTGCGATTTAGTGATAGATTGCAAGAAATGTTCGACAAGAGGGGAAAATTGAAACATTGTTGCACTTAACCCTGAAACATTATTAAAAAACTACCATTAAAAGCATGCGTTCAACAAAATTTATGACACTAGAAGAATGAAGATTGTAGATTTGAGGTAAAAATCGAATCAGAGCGTGATGAAAGAAACGACTAAAGCAAAGTATAAACTGAAAACCGAAAATGGAATAACGAGTATTTCCCCTTTACTACATTTCAGTTGATTCCTTTCAATTCGATGTGTAAGACTGTTCAGTAGGGCAGCAACAATATGAAATATGAAGACGCCATCCTACATTCAATTTCTAGCTTTTAAACCAACTGCTATTTCAAGAAAAACATGGGACATCTCCGTCAACCGGCAAAAGTTACATTAGTAGTAAAAAGAATGAATCCGACAAAATCAGCATACCAGGTGAATTAACACTTTGTGAGCCGAATGTACTAATACTTGTGCTGATGCTTCCTTTGAAAGTAATTGTAGCCTTTTGATCCCTAATGTCGTTTTGGATTCCATTCGGTCCCGTTGCTGCGCCGCCTGAACTTCAGATTATCTAATATTTCATATCCTTGAGCAGAAATTGGAATCGCAACTGAACAGAAAAATTCACACGTTAAGGTTGGAAAATACCTGGTGTCACGTTAGCAATCGATGATTGCGGCAAAATTGTTGAAATCTCAATGTTTGCTGGAAATTAGAATGTAAGATATAATGCATCTGCAGAGAACTTTTTATAATTATCAGGATTCACCCAAAACAGAATTTCAAAATTGTTTAGTCTTTAACGCCACAACGGAGAAATTAATTGATTGTAATTGAAAAAAATTCTATGACAATAACTAGATAAAAACATACCGGTGAGAAGTGGTTCGTGTTCACCAAAAAAAGCCTGCGTTTGAGTATTTGGTGCAGAGAAGTTATTTAGGTTAAGTTTGGGAGTGATGAGTTCATCAATATGTGTACCAGCAGAAAGTGGTCCTTTAGTAGGTGAACCAAGTACAGTTGGGGTTTTGAGTGTTACATCGGTATTGCCCAAAGCGGTTGGTGTTTTCAAACTATCATTATCATTTAAACATAATCCCACGGGTTCTGCATTCGAACTGTGCAATGATACTACTGGTTTACACTGTCCAGTCCGCCCTGAAATATATTTCAAAGGTTTTATCAACTTAATAATACATCCTGTCCTTCATAATACATTAATTAAAACAAACCTTAGTTGAAGATCTTAGAGATCAAAACTAACCTACAGTTTTCCTAATACCCGCTAAATTTCTTTACTTCCCATCATCCTATTTCCCCTTGTCCATTTGTTAGTGTAATTCTAATGTGTGCCTCTTCGTTCTTTCTTAGATTATAATGGTGCCTCAAAAAGAGATCGAGAAAGGATATAAGGTACCTCGTAATGACGGAATTGATAACTTTGGATCTACGGATGAATCACTGGTTGATGGTCCTAGCAATGACACACTGTCTTTTCCTGTCTGCATTGGTATCCTTGTCGATGTACTTATTAACTGACTCATTCTCACAGCTAAAAATAAGTGAGAAGTTATCTTTACATGGCACCAAACTGTTATCCAATGTAGCCCAACTTTGTTGTTGATTTCAGCTAAAAATTCACAAAGACTTCGATCAAGAATTTCCAGGTTTTAATGCGGCAGTTGCCAAATCTTATCTTTACGGCCAAAAAAGGGCACGATGATCATAAAACCACATTTAATTGATATATTCAACCAGATAATTATTCCAGATATTCAAGACATGCTCAAGATGCCCACCTCGAAAACTTCCAAAATCTTCGGGAAGTTCCGAAAGCCGGTTGATGTTACCAATTTATTTCATTCTTATGCCCTACAGTGCGGGTATTGTGATGATGTGGTCAATTGCACCACAAATACAACAGATCTTGAAAATGGATGCATCTTACAACGATGTAGGGCCAAATCGCTGGTTTCAACAAATTCAACAATTTCAACATAATCGGAAAGCAAAATCAGTGGACATAGTTTTGAAGCTGAAAAATCCAACAACTACCCGAAAATTTGTGGTTTCAAGAACTGCGTACTTAACGACATATATTCGTGTTTTGCGTGAAGAAATACTCATTCTTCTTCAGAAAGACTACAGTGGAGAATAATAAACGGTGCTCCAACATTCCCAAACGCCATATACGGCCTAAATGCGGAAGTCATTTACCAAAATCCTATAACCCAAACTTTCTTAAACAACTGCTTATTATATATAGCAATCGGATTTTGATCCGATGACTTTCGCATCTTAAAAACATCATTTAAGATTACTTCTACTAGGAACTTCCAAGCAAATTATTGTTCCCAAAGGATAGTCACGCAACATAAGAGGAGACCCCCAGAAATTACATTTTCACTAATTTATTCTCTTCTTCATGGACAGCCTCTTGTCGCGGGGGAAGCCTGCGTGCCATAATGAGGCTACGACCCATGCTGGCGATGGCACAGGCCTCCGGTAGATCATTTCAACTGAAAGGTTCGATTAAATGCCTCTTTAGCCTCTCAGCAACTTCCTATGAGAAGGATAACTCCAGTCCAAACCTGGGCAAATGGAACTTGTTTAGCCCTGTAAGACCATCTATCTAATAGGACACTCTAACCGAACCCACGTCTGAGAACGTCACCGTCTTAGGTCGCTAAGCCCTAGCAGATGAATCTTAGGAGCAAAGAGTGGGGCAGTCGCGACACGCTGTGCCTCAGCTAAAAAATCCACTGTGCAGGCTGGTAGGATACACCTATATCCGTAACGTTTGTACCGAGCGTGGGTAGAGCCTTTCAAATCTTCGTTCGCGAAACCTAGCTATGATGGCGAAACCCAGAAACCTACTTTAGCCAGGATTAATTCATCATCTAATGAAATTCAGTAGTAACGTTTCATTAAAGAGCATTCGAAATGCAAGTGAGTCCCAATAAGCTCTGAACGATAAAATACTGAGAAGTGTCGCTTAAGATGGGGTAAATAAAACCATTAGGAACCTAACCAACAGTGAAATCCAACAACCACTGCAGGTGCATTGCAGTGGATAACTAATAGTTCTGACTGTGAAGATATTAAGTTTTAATTTAATCCACAAGAAAAGCCGAAAATTGTGAGGAAATGAATTGGACATGTCATTTAGAGTTGCTCCAGTACTGCAATTTACTGCAGACGAGGACGCATCCTCGACATTAGCTAGTATTATCTGATGTGACATATTTATTCTACAGTACGGTCTTACATATGGAATATTCCAAACTAGTGGAGCAATAGTCATTCGTACACAAATACTTCATGCAAGCAACATCCCACATATGCGACCGCCCTCACCCACGTACACCCACACAACTGTTTGCATACCACAATACGGGCATAAATATATTACTACAGCAAGGTCAGGCGGATGACGAGCAAAGTAATAGAAAAAATCAATACTCACTAACTTTAGGATGACGCTAACTAGAGTTAATAGAATGGAAGTAATCGATTTTGAACAGTGAGATGTAAACAGAACCACACGCTAACACATACAGTTTGCATGAAAACATACTAACAAGCAGTCGTTCAAGATGAAGAAAAAAACAATTCATACGATTCGAAATGCAAAATCATTTCAAACCGACTCGATATGACAGCATTGTCAACTTGCCATAACAACCTTATTATACGCTAATGCATCACACAAGTAGTAGCGTTACGAAGTGGAAGTGGGATGAATTGACGAGACATACATATTTATACTTACACTGAGTTAAGGATGGAAATATCATGAACTGAAGAGGGCGGCAAAACACATCCATTTAAAATTGAAAGAATGGAAATAAGCAACTGGAAGAGGGGGCGTGGAGACTGGTTTGAGAAGTAACCGTTCTAGTGTTATCTTATAGGAGACGATAGAAAAGACTATCTGCGCTTTTTTAATGGTAAAATGGGGATAAATGAAAATTAGGAGAATACAGCAAAATTTGCATGC